TTTTTTAACTTATATCATGTAAGCTTTCTGTATCCTCCATGGCACCTAACACAGTACAATGGGCACATGGAAGGTGTTCCATAAATCTCTAACAAATTAAGTAATCAACCAATGAATAAGAACCATGTCAAGATGCTGATTGATTGGAACCTTGCCCTGTAAAGCTCTACTTCCCCTGGAACACAAAACCAAGTTGATGGTACATCATTAGTTCATCTCCCCAGGACCTGAGAAGCTCCCTAAACTGGTTCTCTTCTTACCCTATGTGCACATCATCTGTCAATGCTTTTAAAAGTCAACCAAATTCAGTGACAGCTTCAAGCCCTGTAGCACTGATGGAAATCCTCTGCTACATATGGATTTCCCTGGTGCATACTGCTGTATTACCTGTCTTCCTCTGCACATTGATTGTCAGTCTATGGGTGTTTGACTATATGTAACAGTAAGCCTTGCCCTAATCTGACCACCATACTTCTAATTAGGGAGAATCTTTTCCCCCTCCCTCTTTGAGGATAAGGCCCTAAACTAAGGCATTAGCCTTGGAAGACAGAAATACCTTAATAACTTGCATAGAAACAAAAATGTGCCATACTGAATAGCAGAACAGCAAAAATTCAGGCCCTCTTGAGAGACCCAAAGCCATATTTATCTCCAGAGTTCTCCTACATGATGATGTTAACAATTGCAATATTGGTGGCAATGAAACAAAAGTGTCTTTTATTGAATATCTAATATTACCAGGCTTCATCCAAGGCAGCTTTAGTACAATTTGGCATATAATCTTTTCAAGAATCCAGTAAGTAAGGTTCTAGCATGACCATTTTGCAGATGAGAAAACTGAAGATGAAAGATATTAAATAAGTTATCCACTGTAAACCTTTTAAATATCAAGGTCACAACTCAGACCCAGGTCAATTTAAATACTTTCTACCTCCCCATACCATTTCCATTGCAGATACCCATGCTCCAACAAAACAGCCAATAGCACTCAGCCACTTTGAATAATTGTCTCAAGGATTTCAGATGATGTACATGAGTTTTGGAGCTGGAATTTTTTCCCAAGAGATCATAAGCACACACAGGCACCCGCTTCCTGTGTTTTGATTCCAATCTCATCTGTGGCTTCAAGGGAAAGACTAAATAAATCCAGTCTTATCATGTTGCTTCCATCTCACTCTACAAGGAATGAGCCAATCCTGCCCAGCTCCTGATTTTTGTGTCCTGAATGTAGAGTCAGCTACTTGCCCACATAGTCAAAGCAACTGCAAATAAATGGCACTGAAATATTAATGGGCTTCCTTGGGAATACAGAGTTAGATCATAATAGAGAAATAGTATTCATAGCACATTCTAGAACCAGTTGAAATGGTTCATCACCAGTGAGGTCAAACACATTGTACTAGCTTGCTTTGTGAGCTCAAAATAACTACAGAATTAATTATTTGAAATGCTTTCAAGAAGCTTAAGATGAATGGCTTTTTTAAAAAAATGATTCTAACAAACAGAATGACCTAAACAAGACAATGAGAGATATATTGTGGTCTGTTCCCACTTTGGAATATTATAAAGCAGTAAAAATAGATGGATTATGACTACTCGTAACAATGTGAGCGAAGCTTGGAAACATAATGTTGGGTGAAAAAGCAAATCCCAGAAATCTACCAACTATATGTAGCTAATTCTAAAACATGCTCAAAAATTCGTGGAAACCCAACCCTTCCAAAGGTGGAGACTAATTTCCCTCTTCTTGAATAAGAGCCAGATTTAGTGATTCATTTCCAATGACTTTTGACAAAAAAATTTGGTATGTCAATTCAAGAATAAGTGGGAAAAAAAAAGAACAGAGCCACTTTTGCCTTATCCTTGTGACCTTTATTTTGGAAAGCCAATCACCATCTTAAGGACATTCAAGAGCCTATGGAGAGGCCCATGTGGAGAGGAACTTAACTTTCCTGCCCATATCCAGCAAGAACTTGCCAGCCATGGGCATCAGCCACCTTTGAAGAAGATCTTCAGTCCCCAGTCAATCCCTCAGATGACCTACTGATATCCCGACTTCAACCTCACAAAAGATCCCAAGCCAAAACCATACAGTTAAACCATTTGCAGATTCACGACTCACCAAAACTTGAGACATCATAAATATTTATTGTCTTAAGACATCAAGTTTGGTAATTTGTTGTACAGTTATACAAAAGTAATACAACAATATGATACCATTTTTTATAAATCTCAAAAGCAAAAAGTTGTTTATACAAACTTATACAGATGTACACTCTCAAGGGAAAGAGAGGGTCCTCTCAGAAAGGAGAGGGACACACATCCCTCATATTTTACAGTTCTATTGAGAGTTCCAGGGAAGTTTCCAGAGTCCTGCCCAAGTCCACCTTCTGACTTTCGACTGACAGAATAGGAACTACATGAACTGCCTCCAAGAGAGAATGGTATAAAACTAGTTTTTTTGTTTTTGTTTTTGTTCTTGTTGTTGTTGTTGTTGTTGTTGCTTTTATGGTAGTAGAGGTCAAATCCAGAGCCTGGTACACCCCCAGACAATAAAACTGCTTTTTAAGTAAAGGAATATCAGGCAAACTGTTAATATTGACACAGAGACATACTGATACCAAATACAAGGCTTAGATTAAATGCATAAAACAACTGTGTAAAAGTATCTGAAAGAAACCACATTTGGCAGGAATAGTGGGACCAAGAGCACATAGGAAAGGGAAGTGAGATGAGATAAGCCATACCTTTGGCTCTGGTTTTTCCTTTAAATCATGGTCATGACATGATGTGGGGCAATGGAGTCTGAAGGCAAGGCAGCAGAGGAATCTGTAGAGGTCTCATTAGATCGGGGAGTCAGAGATTGAAGTTCAAGTCCAAGTTCAAGTTCAAGGGATCTATTAAATACTCTGGAATTTCAGTTGAGATCCCAAAAGGGCTAAACCTATAAGAAGTGACTTATGCATTACAATTAGGAGGAATATATACCCTAGGAATCTGGCAATAGGGAGAATTTGGAATAGACCAACCATGACAAAGCCCTTAGACCAATCCTCAATGGCATCAGGAGGATTTATCCATACTCTATCACCCTCCCATAAGAAAATTAAATAATTTTTTGTAGGGCTGGAGATTCAAAAAAATCCTCTACACTAGACTATGCCCCTAGTCTCTAAATAATCTTTAAAGGAACATATATATAACATTACCCAGAGACTGTAATTTTTCATATATGATTTCTGGGTTTTACTTGAAAAATACCAAGCATGTCAATAAATAGGATCAAATGGCTAAACACTAAGAGAGGAAAAAAGAAAAACAGTGGGAAAAAGATAGGAAAAACAGTAATATACACATTAAAGTTTCAAACATGGACTTCAAGGAGATTATTATTATTAAGTTCAAGAACATAAAAGAAAGGATAGGTAATTTTACCATAGAATAGGAATCCGTTTTAAAATTGATAATCCAATGGAAATCCTAGAACTAAAACAATAAAATTATTAAAATTAAGAATTAAGGTTGGGCACTGTGGTGCACACCTGTAATTCCAGTGGCACAGGAGGATTTCAAGTTCAAAACCAGCCTCATCAACTTAGTGAGGCTCTGAGCAACTCAGCAAGACCCTGTCTCTAAATGAAATATAAAAAAGGGCTTGGGATGTGATTCAGTGATTAACTGCCTCTAGGTTGGATCCCCAGTACAGAATAAAAAATAAATAAAAAGAATCAAATAGATGGATCCAAAAGCAGATTAGACATGTCAAAAAGAGACAAAAAAAAAAAGTTAAAAATGGAGTTGGGCCCAGTGAAATGTACCTGTAGTTCCAGCTACTCAGGAGACTAAGGCAGGAGGATCACTTGAGTCCAAGAGTTTAGGGCCAACCTGAGTAACATAGTAAGATCCCATCTCAAAAAAAAAAAAAAAAGAAGAAGAAGAAGAAGAAAAATGAAAGGGGGGGCAAGCATAGGAGACATAGGGACATGGTTAAAAACACCTAACATACTTGTAATTGGGTTCCAGCTGGAAAAGAAAGAGAAAATTACATAGAAGCAATTTTTAAGGAAATGCAAGCTGAGAATTTTCTAAATATGATGAAAGACATAAAGCCACGGAGCAAAGAATTTCTACAAATCCCATGCAAGATAAATATAAAAAAAAGACAACACCTGGATATTTCACAGGAAAAATTGGTAAAAATAAAAAACCATGAGAAAAGTCTTAAAAGCAGACAAAAGAGGGAAGGAAGGGGGGAAACCACATTGTTTTTAAAAGAGCAATAATAAAACTGAGAGCAGAGCAATAGGAAAAATGGAAGCCAGAAGATAGTCAAAGGCAATTGTTAAAAAATGCTGAAAGAAAATAATTGTCAACTTAAAATTCTACACAAACACAACCTTCAAAAACAAAGGTACAGCAAAGACATTTTCAGGCAAAAAAAAAAAATGAATTTGTCACCAACATATATGCATTAAAAGAAACACTAGAAGAATTTTTTTCAGGCAAAAGATGATCCCATATGAAAACACAGTAATGCAAGAAGAAATAAACAGCACCAAAAATGTAAAATGTACAGATAAATCTAAGATAATACATACTGCATGTTAGCTAGGTGTGGTAATCCCTTGCGCCTGTAATCCCAGCGACTAGGCAGGCTGAGGCAGGAAGATCACAAGTTCAAGACCAGCCTCAGCAATTTAACAAGGCCCTAAGCAACTTAGCAAGACCCTGTCTCAAAAAAATAAAAAGAAAAAAAGGGGGGGTAGGGATATGGCTCAGTGGTAAAGCCCTCCCTGGGTTCAATCCTCAGTATAATAATAATAATAATAATGTTAATGTCTATGAGAATCAAAATATAAACAGAATAAATTTATGTTAACACATCACAAATAAACAGGAGGAGGGTGAACAGGGTTAAAGCATTGTACAGTTCTTGTATTATTCGGTGTGATATTAGTACTAATTTAAAGCAGGTTATAATAATCTCTAGAGTAATCATTATGCTTATTTTGGCAGCAAATATGCCAAAATTGGAACAATACAGAAAAGATCATCATGGCCCTGAGCAAGCATGACATGCAGATTCTAAAGAATAATAAAAAATGTACAAAGAGCAAGCAAGAAGAATAGGAAAATGGAGTAATGCATGATGAATCCAAAAGAAGGAAGACAGGAGAGCAAAATTAACAAAATCATATGGAACTTATAGAAAGGAAATTGTAAGATTGTAGATTTAAATCATAATATCTGTAATTACTTTAAAAATACATGAACCAGCTGGGCATGGTGGCACAATCCTGTAATCCCAGCAATTTAGGAGGCTGAGGGAGGAGGATCACAAATTTGAGGTCAGGTTCAGCAAATTAGTGAGACCCTGTCTCACTATTAAAAATAAAAAAGGGCTGGGTATGTAGCTCAGTGGTAAAGCACCCTGGGTTCAATTCCCAGTATTTTATAAAAAAAAAAAAAAATGTGAATCAGCCAAGCACCATAGTGCAGGCAAGGGGATTGCAAGTTCAAGGCCATCCTGGGCAATTTAGCAAGACCCTGTCTCAAAATAAAATAAAGGATGGGAATGTAGCCTAACATGCACAAGGCTTTGGGTTTAATACCTGGTACTGAAAAAAATAAAGATTGTGAAGCTAGACTAAAAATAAATAGCAACATACCTTAAACATAAGGATATAGAAAGAAAGCTGTGTGACAGTTTTAAAACATAGCCATACTATAGCTTGAATACTCTCTCATTAAGAGGTTGGGTTTCTCTACTCCACAGTTTGGGCAGGCTTGTGGTTCCTTCAACCAATAGGATGTGACAGAAATAACTCTGTAGATTTTGACGCCAGGTCATAAAAGGCTGTGCAGTGTTTGGTGAAACAGTCAATCTTAAAGTCACTGTATAAAAAGTCTAACTACCAGAATCTGCCATGCTATAAGGAAGCCCAAGCTACAGGGAAAGGCCAAGTGTTGGCAAAGATATAGAGCAACTGTAACTCTCAAACATCTCTGGTAGATATGTAAATTGGCCCAACTGCTCCAAAAAACTGCTGTGTATCTATTAACATGTACATACATATAACATAACAGTTATTACACTCAATAGAAATGAGTACATTATGCATAGATAGAAAAGTTCATAGTAGGTTCATTTATAATGGCTAGAAAAAGGACACAAACACAAACATCCATTAACAACAGAATGAATGAATAAATCATGAAGCTTATTCATAAAATGGAAAACCTGCCCAAGTATGATAAAGAATGTACTGATACATGATAAAGAACGATACTACTGATGATATATAATAACATGGATTAATCTTGCAAAGAGAATGCAAACTAAGTCAAGAATACATACTTACCAATTCCAGAGCTAATCTATGTTGACATAAATCAGAACAGCAATTATGCTGGGAAAAGGGGAAGGACCGATTGGGAAGAAGTGTGAGGGTGTTTCTGGAGTATCCAAAATACCCCATGCCTTAATCCAGGTATAGTTACATATATGTGTACTTTGTAATTAATCAAACTGCACATTTAAGATTTGTGCATTTGTTATTATATATGAATACTTCAATTTTTTTAAAAAAAGTTTTCTTTACAAGCAAAAGAATAACAAACACAAAATTCAGGTTAGTGGAAAAGAGACCAGGAAATGGGAGAGAAAAGGAACATACAAAGGCTTTAAATTTACATAGAAAATGCTTACCTCTGTCATATGTATCAAATATTACATTAAATGCTAATGAAAACATTATTTTAGTAAAAACAAAAATATTCAAATATTTACAACCCATGTACTGAACTCAGGATGAATTTTTAAAGTAAAGTTAATATAAACAACTCTCACCTATATATTTAAACACAGGAAGACAATTGCATGCATTTACTAAGTACCCTCCTTAGCATCACACTGATTGTTCCTTCATGAGACCACTTTTGTATGAGGTAGAGCAATAATCTTGACAGGCATTATTGAGTACATACTATCTGTTGGGCACTGTTGTGAATGCTTTACATGCATTTAATTGTCATATAACCCTATGAGGCCAGGACTGTTATCACCCCAATTTAACAGATGGGGAAACACACACAGGGAGTTCAAGTGATTTGCCCGTGGCCTCACAGCAGGCAAGCAGCAGAGCCAACATTCGAAGCCTGGTTTTGAATTGCAGTCTGGTTTCAGAGCCTACTCACTCTGCCTCCTGTAAGGAGTGCACTTTCCATTACCAGTTCTCAACTATACCCCACACCTCTGACAGTTCCAGAGTGCTACAGACACCTGCCCCATAGAGAGGGGTATAATGATGCAACCATAATTATGACAATGAATAACGTTGGCATTACTGCCAATAATAAAAGACATTAAGCTCACAGGATATTATATTTAAGAGAATATTAAAAAGTTGTCACGATTGAACAGTCACCATGTTATTTAATTCCAGACCTTTAGAAGAAGGAATCTAGATAAATTATCCTCTCTCTCCCATCTTTTCCAGGTACATGGCACCTACCACTCTATACAATACATTAGGGTCATTTAAGACCTGTGACTTTTCTCTCCTCTAGAATAGGATTTGTTTCTGATTCTTCTTTGCCTCCTTGTGTGTACATTACTTAGACAACGTACATGTTGTGTAAATATCTGTATAATGAGTGCCTACATGACAAATAAACAAAAATAAGAGAAATATCCAACATCTTTATAAAAGCTCCCACATATCCCTTGACCTCACTCATCGTATTCACTGCTGTATCCCAACAACTCAGAAAAGGGCCTGCAAGTTGTAAGTGCTCACTAGATACCAAATTTTGGTTGAATGAACCAAAGCAGGAGTGACAGACAATTCTTGCCCATTGTGAAGTATCTAGATACTTCACCTCTGTGAAGGGTCTTGCTGACCCTGAGATGGGTCAATATGTCTCTCAACTCAGACAGATACAGAAAATGCGGCTGCACTGCTGGGGCTTGACGACAGGATGAAGGAGTTTACAATGGAGTGAAAGGCAGCTGGCTTGAGAGAGACCCCTGAGAGAGAGTCTGTGCACGTGGTTGTGGTGGTGATGGCCTGTGGTATGGTTTAGATCTTAAATGTTCCCCAAAGGCCCAGATGCTAAAGCTTAGTCCCCAGCCTATGGTGCTGTTGGGAGGTAGTGGAACCTTTAGGGAGGTAGGGTCTGCAATAAGGAAGTTAGGTCCCAGGGGGCATGCTCTGGAAAGAACCCCAGCCCATCTCTCTGCTTCCCACCCTCCACGATGCCAGCAGCTTTGTTCCACCACACTCTCCCCACCATGGTGCTCTACCTCACCACAGGCCCAAAAACCATGGAGCCAAGCAATATGGACTAAAACATCTGAAACCGTGAGTCAGAATAAATCTTTCCTCCTTAGAAATTATCTAAGACATTTTATCAGAGCAATGGAAAGCTGACTAACAGCCTGTCTGAAGGATGTGCAGCGAACAGCTCTTAACCATGCATGGGAGAGGATGGGGATGAGTGTAAACGTCTCCAGGATCTTTGACAATGTTCTTTTTTTGGCTAATAAGAGCTCACTAGTCTGCGAAGCTGAACAAGCTCCCTGGTGGGGTGAGCAGAAGAGGTTCCCTTCCTCAGTTTCTCATGTTCCACTCCCAGCTCTTGTTTGCTTTTGAGACTTATTCCTCTAGCCACGGGGAAGGCATGTGATGGCCATTTTAAAATATGGAATATCCCAAGTCAGAGTAAGCTGTGTCTTGAGGCACCTCTGGAACAGCCTTTAGGAAAAGACTGGGTTTTTTCCTTTCCCTTCTTAAGCATGCCTTGACCTCCTCCCTCAGCCTCCTCTTCCAAACCTCACCTCCAACCCCAGCCCCTCCTTCAGGCCTAAGCTTCAAACTATCTCCCCTCCTTTTCTCCCTACTCCCACGTTTCTTCCCAGTCCACAGTGGGGCAAGCCAAAAGCTTGATCTCAGGGGAAGAAAGAACCTACACACCAACCCCCAGAGCCTAGGAGAACTGCCCTGGGACAGAGTGTTTCTTAGGGACTTGCTCAGCAGACAATCAGAACCTGACACTCTGGTCTGGTGTGTCTATTCATCTCCTCTGAGGGCAGAAAATCCAGTTCTGGCTATCACCGCTTTGGATGCCTGGTGTAGGCACCATTTAGCAAACCCCTGAGTCTGCCTCCTCCCTGCCACCATTGCCTTGGCTGTGTGGCACTTGGGGGACTTCCAGGAGGTGGGAGGAGAACTGAGGTAGCATCAGCCTGACCTTGATCACTCTGTGACTCTGAGACTCAGAACCTCGTGTCTCATCATTTCATCCAGAGACCTCCTTGTCCTCTAGAACCATTCATCCGCTCATAATAATCCCAGTGAGTTTTTTATGGCACCTGCCTCAACACTTCTGTTCTCTTCCAAGTATTTCTATTCTGATCTCTCTCTCTCTCTCTCTCTCTCTCTCTCTCTCTCTCTC